GTAGGGTGGGGGAGGGCGGAGAAAGGGTGAACAGAACAAATATGGGTATATTATGGGGCGGGCAAAAAAGGAGTGGGTGCAGAAGGAGTGGGCAGAATGTGGGGTGGGCGGAGAGGGGATGAATAGAATAATGGTGGGTGGAATAGGGGTGGATGGAGAAGTGGGTGGGGAAGGAGTGGACAGAAAATGAGGTGGATGGAGAAGTGGGTGGGGAAGGAGTGGACAGAAAATGAGGTGGATGGAGAAGTGGGTGGGGAAGGAGTGGACAGAAAATGAGGTGGATGGAGAAGGGGCGAATAGAATTGGGATGGGTGGAACAAGTTGGGGTGGATTTGGGGTGGGCAAAAAAAAGGCTGGGTGGAATTAGGGTGGATGGAATAGGAGTGGGGAAAAAAGAAGAGGCTGGTTGAGAAGGAATGGACACAAATATGGTGGGTGGCAATGGGGTGGGGGGGGGAGAAAGGGAAAGAATTGGAGGGGAGCTGGTACAGTGGAGGCATGGCTACACTACACACAATGTGGGGTTGGAGGGGGGGCGTGGCCAAAGAAACAACTAACCACATTTGCCATGCAGTGAATACACAAATCGCACAGCATGGGAAAACATCCAGTTCTCCATTAACCAGGCACACACACACACACACACACACACACACACACAAACACACACGCACACACACACACACTGTTCAACATTAACTGGACGTACACATAGAGACATACTCACTCACTCATGCATGCAAACACACCTGAGGGTGAACTGGTACCTGCAACCGCTACCCTAAAACTTTAATCAAGTTAAATTCCCCTAAGGAACTGAACTGGTATCTTTCAAAACACACCAGCCAGAAGAAGGAACTGCTTGTGTCTTTCACCACAGGACAAAATAACACTTGATTTACCAACAGTCCGTTCAAAAATAGGCAAACAGAGAAGTGCGAGAAAACACAAATAAGAAATCTGATCTGCCATTGTCAACTTCTTTGTTCAATGTTAGGAGATTGAAACAAACAGTGCTATCATCCATCTGTATTGGGCCTGTCAGTCCAAGTCAAGCTCACATTAGACAAGCTCAAACTGGCGACAGTCAAGATAGATAGAACCATTTTGACTGGCTCCCAAGAACACAAGTATCACAAAATACAAGGGATTCTGTTTAAAAGCAGCTTTCACAAAAGCATGTTTTTATATAATGTCACTCTTTTTTCAATATTCTCTGATTGAATTAAGAACAAGGCAGGTAATTTAGAAGATGACATAGAAAACCCTAGAATATAAAAAGAAGGAAAAAAAGGTGGAAATGCCATATAAACCATAACACCTAGCTCTCCTTATTCTTATTTTTTAAAAACTTGTTTCCAGCAATGTGGCAATAAATATTAATGATTAAATGGAAGTTTTTTTTAGCTGTTTTCTTTTCTGTATCCACACAGCATATAATCTAAAGCAAAGTCCATACAACAGAAGTACAACTTTTGAATGTTTGGGGAGCCCTTGGTCTTACCCCACGGCCCACTGGTACATGCTGGTCTCTATTACAACAGGCAAAATGCAGCATGCACTACCGACAGGATAACAACCAACCCCACTGACGACAACAACAGCAAGAGCAATGACAGCATCATCACTAGGCCTCTACCAACGTACCACACAACACAGCAAACAAGGTGCAAGGAACCCCAGTCCACCCTCACCACCCTCCACCCCCACTGTTCGTTCTATCCCCAATCCTTGCACAGCTAGGGGAGATTACAAAGGTAAAGACTTACCTTGAGCAATCTTTCAGGGTGGTATGGGTTGTCTACCCCTTCTTCTCGCACTGCCTGCAAGTCATGGTGAGGGGAGTCTGGCGTAGAGACAGAACATAACAAATTGCTTTAGTTCACTATGACTTCTCAGCCGGGTCCTTGATATGACATTAAACAGTGTACACTTGGCAGAGCTTTTTACTGGATATGACAAGACATGAAACAATGTCAACTTAGTACTTGTCAAAACAGTTCTATTCAAAAAGACATGAATTGACGTGATGGTTGACATGAGTTGGCTGACACGACCGTTTATCTAAAATGGCAAAACAAACTGTTCACTTTAGATCACAACACATGAAAGATTGATTGTACATGACAAAAGAAAACAGACTATACTAAACATAGAACTACAAGACTATTGGTTTACTTGGCAAAACATGTCATGATCATTTGTCCATTTGACATGGCATATTGCAGTCCATTTACTTGACACAAAATTTGTTCCCTTGTCATAACAAAACAGGATAGAATTATAAACATGATGGGACAGGTCACAGAAAGAAATAGCATGCCCTCTCTTCCAACATCCAACAGCATACTCCTCAAACTCAAACCATTTTTGCTATGCAGAAAGTGGAACAGACAACATTCTTAAGAAGCAGAGGCCATAAATTTTGCATAACTTCTTTTCTTCAATGGAGGGGTTAGGAAGTATAGAACCTGTGAGGGGAGGGTCAAAAATATTTTGTTGTGTAAATAAAATTTATAAAAATTTTCTTCAACACAGATGGCATGTATTTCTACAACACAGGTGAGCTGTACACAGAGTTCTGTCCTATGTCCCTTACCATCATCTCTCCAGAGGCTGCTCTCTCCTCTCTCCGGGCTTGGGTGGTCCAGCTCCCCAGATTTGCTGTGAGCACTGGAGCTGGACTGGCTGTCAGAGCGGCGGTGCCCGTGAGCCCCGGCTGTCTTCTGTAGGGCAATTTTGAGCGGAGACAGGTCGAATGAGGTGTGAAACTTGCTCTCGTCATTTGCTGATGGAGCCTGGAGGATTTCAATATCGGAGGAAGTCGTGGTCTCGATGTCATCACTTGACTCATGGCCACTGTATACACTTTTCTCAAACTCCGAATCTACCTTTGAGCTCTCTGACTTCTCCCCACTGGAGTGATTATCACTACCTGAGTCCTCAGTCTTACTTTCCTCCATGGCTTCTTCGATCATACACTTGACGTAAGACGAGCTGAGAGAGGCTGGAGTCCCCTCTGACCCTGCTAATTTCTCTCTCTCCTCTTTTTCAAAGCCCTCTTCCTTCTCACCAAACAGAGAATAAGGCTCATCACCCTGACCAGTGGTATCATGGTCAGCCTCACTAGGAGTGTCCACCAATGACCGGTCCACAACTGTGTCCATGCTGCTGTCAAATTTGCTGGTGTCTGACGAGCCCGTACTGCCGGCCTGACCTCCAGGCAAGTCAAGATCACTGCTAGCCCGTGAATCGCCCAAGTCAAGGTCTGAGCTGGCCTGTACAACATCATCTGAGCCTGTCTCTGATAGCAGCGTCTGTGCACCATCGCTGCTTACTGAGCTAATGTTCACATACTCCCCACTGACCTCCGTCTGGCTCCTCTCTTGCCCCGGCACTGCACCCCCAAGGGGACTCACATTTACAGGCTGCTCCCCAGAAGTATCTTCTACCACAGAGTCAACGTTTTGAACTTGTGAAAGAGGTGAGTCATCAGCCTGGAGAACACCCTTGGCCTCACCAGATAGTACAGTATCATTTACCTCTAATGTAACATCCACAGTGCTGCCAACCACTAAAGGTTCAGACCTCGTTTCACTCACTCCATGTTCTTCACCTGGTAGTGTAGTGGGCAATTCGTCCACGTCTTGGGTGAGCAAGGAGAGGGAGAGCTCAGACAGGCTGTCCTCACATACTTCCGTGAATGAGCTCGAAGTGGATGTCTTCAAACCACTGGAATCTAATTGCAGTGGGAGAACAGTGGTCTCCCCTGTCACTGCCGTGTTAGTTTCCCTTGCTTTGTCTTCAAAACCAGAAGATGTTGAGGCAGCTTGTGGGGGGCTCAAGTCTAAGTGTGGTATGGCTGAGGCTATACTGTCTTCCTGTTTGGCAGCAGGTGAAGTTGCATTCTTGACAAAGAGAATTTGGGACTCTTTCTCTGTGGGTGAGGAAGAACTGACCACTCCTGAGCCTTGAAACTCTGAGACAGCCGCTAATCTCTCTTTCTTTTCTTCACCCTCACTACCAGCTATGAGCTCATCAATGTTGTCGTCCAAGGAGAAATCTTGCCAGCCAGATGAGGAATCTTCAGCCTTGCAGTCCGGTAATGAACCTGAGGAGGAGATTCCAGAGGCAATACCAGCCTCAGTGGGAGAATTTGACGCAGCCTTAGAGTCAATAACATCTTGACCTGTCACCTCATCAAGTTCAGAGACCTCAGAGGTGTCATCAGTCACAGCTATGTCCGACTTTGCTCTCTCTGATGCAGACTCAGATGCTGTGGCCTTCCTGTCAGAGGGTGCCACTTGCTTATCATTACTGTCTACACTCAGTTCAGATTTCACTGGTGAGTCCTGGTCCTCTGACCCTGTTGCTGCAAAGCTCCAGGGCAAGTTCCATGAAGAGTGGCTGTCAGAAGACTTTTCACCATCTTCTGGTTTCGACTCTTTCCTCCCTCCAGAACCCATCCAGCCAGACCAAAAATCAGCACCTTGATCCTCTGGTGCATCCTTGTCCTTCTTTGACCCAGTCTTTTCTGGAGTCTTCTCCGACTTCTGATCTGTTCCTTTCTGTTGAGAGGTCCCTGCAGGAGTACCACACAGACAAAAGAAAGATCATTAATGATTTCTACAAAAGTAAAAATATACCACTTAAATCCAACAAAATGTCACTGGTGCTATTAAAAGTAAAATAAGGTAAAGTGTCAATGTGAAACATGTGGCTGCCCTCTTTCAAACATGGAGTCCCAACTAAAAAGTCCTTATTTACCTCACTTAAGACTTAGAAACAAAAACTTAAGTCAAAATTAAATTCTGTGGCAGGTTTAACTCATTCGCTACGTATTATTTTCGGCTTGTGGACGAATTTTTTTCGGGAGGGCGAAATGAGATGATGACTAGTGGGCAGTTAAAAGGTCTATGGGGCCACAAATTCAAATAAATACAGTAGTCTCC